TTTTTTCTAAATGTATTATAATTCTAACATAATTTTTTTTAATATCTCCTTTCAGGCAGGATGATGATCAAGAATAGTAGTTTCAAAAATCTTATCATTCAAAAAATTTGTCTTTCATAAATAAATATGTATAAATTAAAATTGGTTCAGTTTTTTAAAAGGTAAAACCACTACAAATACTAGCGGTTATATTATACGCTAGAAAATGCAAGGCCGCTACAAAATGTATTAAAACACTGTAAAAAAAACCGCTACAAATATCTCACTGATCACTATAAATACCACATCACCTTCTCATTCATTTATCTCATTTCTTTTCCTTCCTCTCCCCTTCTTCTTTATAATTCTCTCTGTTTTTCTTACTCTCTCATATGGTGCTTTTTTTCTCTTCATTATATGGTAAGGTGATTTTTATTTTATAAGTCTTAATATCTTTTATTTATCTTTATTTATAATTTACTAACATTTTTATTTCTTTTTTTTCTTTCAGATTTTTCTTCTTCACATTTGTCATGCCCTCCTTAACTGATTCAAACACTTCTCAACATAACAGTTTAAGTTCAATATTATAAACTATCTCATTTTCAATTCAGCTATCTTGTTAAATTAAATTCACTTCATTTGACACAATCATGATTTAATTACTTATTATTTATCACAAAATTCAAATATATAACATGTAATACATTGGTAAATATACATATTAACAAAAATTCTCTAATATAATCTACTTAATGGTTTTTTAATTTATAATATTATATTTTTTTAATAATCAAACATCTCAATTTATTTTTTCCCCATGGAGTAAACTTTCTAGCGGTTCTAAAACTGCTAGAAAAATAAAAAAGAGGGACAAATTTCGTAAAATTTAAATTTACTGCTACATTTCTAGCAGTTTCTAACCACGAGAATTTTTTGGTGCCAACTCCAAAATTTCATTTCCTAACAAAATTTGATTTCCTCCAAACTTTCTAGTGGTTATAAACTGCTAGAAATTTTTGATGCCAAAATGAAAATTTTTGTTTCTCGACAAAATGAAATTTCGTTCAGGACTTTCTAGCGGTTACAAAACTGTTACAAATTTTCAACAATTTCTAGCGGTTTTAAACTGCTACAAATGTCATCTCATACCCTTGGGACTCCTTGTTTTTTCTAGTGGTTATTTTAACCACTAGAAAGTTTCTGGTGTTTTGACCATATTGTGTAGCGGTTCTCATAACTGTTAAAAATCTATTTCTTACACTTGATTTTCTAGTGGTTTTTTTAACTGCTACAAATGTTATTTATTGCAGTTGAAACTGATAGAAACGTCATTTTTTAATCGCTACAAAAGACATGTTTTTTGAATACTTGATAATTATTCTAAAAACTGTCAAATAAGAGAAGTCTAAACAATACTTGACAGTTATTCCTAATAACTGTTAACTATTGTCTTCAAATATTTGACTATTTTAAATAACCGTTAAGTATTGTTTCTAAATACTTGATAGTTTTAAAGAAAAACCATGAAGTATGGTTTAGCAGAGGAATATTTGACGGTTTTTTAATATAACCATCAAGTATTTGAAGAGAAAACTTGATAGTTATTAAGAATAACAATCAAGTATTTCCTTTTTATAATGCCTAATCTATTCATTTTGCTTATCTCATTTGACATTTTTACTGTCCTTTCTCTATCGTGCGCTCTCCCTAGCCTTTGAAGATTCAAATCTTCCTTTCATTTATTTTTAATTTAATGTACTGGACTGCAGATTAATTGAACACCGTTGTAGGTGTTTGAGGCAAGATATATATCTCTTTCAATTCTTGACAGGGTTATATATCTGCCTTCATCACTCGCATTAGTTAGTCACATCATGATAACACTGAAATTACCGCATTAGGTGAAAAGTGTGTGATACGAAAAATGCACGTTAGCTGGCACGTGACCATAGGACTATACTACCTTGATACTCTTCTGGTTTTATTTATAAGACACTTTTAAAATGTTATACATAGATTAAAAAAAAGATTAAATTGCATTAATTTTTTTATTAAAATATAACTTTTTAATTTTATCTCTATTTAATATATACACATTTTAAACAAAAAAACTATCTATATTATAATAAATAAATAATAATATAGTATATTTATAGTAAAAATTTAGTAAAATAACTTATAAATAGGATCACGAAAAATCTTCTCTTTTTATGGTGGAATGTTTGGCACTATGGGAAGCCTTGTTGATAAGAAATAGGTTCCCTGATTGCTAGGTAGTGATAGAAACAAACTGTGAAATCTTGTTTTAAGTTGATTCAGAAAGAGTCTCTGGGTGGCTGTGAATTGCAGAGTCGGGACGTTTTCCGTGAAGTTCTTGCCTTGAAAAAGTCCATGAGTAATGTGACCTTTTCTCTTGTCTCAAGAAAAGGTAATAAAACTGCTGATTTTTTGGCAGGATGTGCTGCAAAGAAGATGTACCAGAATGAGTGGTTGGTCTCTGTCCCATCTTCTTTAAGCGTCTTTTTAGCTCACGGCTTGACAAAAGGCAGGGAATCCAGGGCATATGGACATGCTGCGAAGGCTCCAAGGGAAGGCATTGGTTAATGTGATTTTTGTTTCTAGCTTAGCTTTGACTTTTTGTTGTGCTTTAGTTCTTTTTTCTTTCCGGCGAGTCTTTGTGCGTTAGGTTGTACTTCAGATTTTTTGAGAGTTTTATTTTTGGCCTATAGCTATTGGTGTTTGTAATTTTTTTTTTTTTGAATATTAATAAAATTTACTTTTTTGGCCAAAAAAAATTGAGGTGATCATGGGTTGATGCTTTGGTTCGGTTTTAGGTCGAAACCAAACCAGTCGATTCAGTTATAAAAGACAAGATTATATTATGGATTATATCACTGTTAGTTCGCGTATGGCCAAACAGAAAAAATAGCAGATTTTAGGACCGGTTTGGAATAGCATTTAAAAATACTTATAAACATATTTCACGTATATTGAGATAAAATTAGGTCACATATTAATCTCATATTTTATAAATCATGATTAAAAAACTACTTATAAGCTATTCTAATTCGCCCTTTAATTTTACCTATTATGTGATCCTACCTGACAATTGGCCTGGCTTGAAAATATCTTGTCATTTTCTAAGCCATTTTTTTAGGGTCAGATTGAGCTTAAACTTCACCTGGTTCCGGTGGGCATTTGAGTCTTATGAATGCCCCTAACAGAAAATACTTCTTTCGTCCGTATTTACTTGATCTCATAGGATAAAACACATGAACTAAGAAGTCAAAATTTACGTACAATGCAAAACATTTTTTTTTCTGTTTTGTCCTCCATTTAATGTTGTATTCTTTTTTTAAAAAAATTTTAACTTCCACTTTATTAAAAATAAATAATTATTTTTCATGCAAAAATAATAATTATTATATCTAAAAATTTAACAACACGCATGTTTAGCAATATAGCAATAAAGTAAAAATCGAATTCAGAACGGATGAATAGAGACAAGAAACATAATACGAAAGCAAAGGCATTGGGGATTCCAATTTATCCGCCCAATGATGAACTCGCGACCTGAGAAATGTTTTTCTGGAATGGGCATCGCCAGTTTCATCAAAACCATCAATTATTTTTTTTTTTGTACTGTCTCTTAGATTTGTGTTCTTTTTCCTCGGTGATATCGTAGATTTGTATTTTACCCAGGAGTTGGGGTCTTACAAAAAGAGCTACTCATCTGATTTTATTGATAAGTAACTTTTAATATATTTTACGTCAATTAAGAAAAACTTTAAATTTTATCAACTCTCATTTAAAATTCAACGACTTTTTAACTTTATCCCTATTTAATATATATTATACATCATATAAATAAAGTCAACACAATAATAAATTAATAATAAAATTGGACATCGATGTAAAGTTTTATATTTATAGGACTAAATACTACATTCGGTCATTAATATAAAAAATAGATAACTAATTTATGGATATTAAGGATATTTGTTAAGTTAATTATTTACAATTCATATATGTTATTTTTCGTAAAATGTCATTATCATGTGCATTGGAAGTAATCTTTAATAGAACCTTTAATATATGCAATCACCATACAGATTACTTTGGAAAAATATGGACAAATGTGAGAAACAAGATGAATTGATAATTTAGGATCAAATTAATTGAAATTCTGCTTTTATATTAAGGAGGGGAGGTAGTATATAAGAATCGTTTTAATCAACTGATCATTATTTAAGAAAATTAATTATTTATAATTGGTCTGTCAAATGTTCATATTATTCTCTCACAATTACTTCTAAAATTTAATAGGATATCTTAAGTAGTACGATTTTTTTGCCAAAAGAATTGAGCATTAATTAGCCGGGATATTTTGGTAAAACTATTCATCTAATTAATGCCTTAATAGACAATATCAACAAAGTTTTACATGAAGGATTAAAACAGAGCGTTTAAAAGGATCCTATATGTATACCAGGAGGACATGAGGGGAGTTGAATTTACTCGTAGAATTTTAGCTTAGTAGTTAGTTTTCTCTTGTATCACCAAGGAAAAAAAAAAAAAGGGATCCTATATGTAAGACCGAAAAGGGTATAAAATATGTGAATAGTTATGATTTTATATGAAAGAAGCCACATATGAATTGAAAATATAGGAGATAATGATCCCGGATGATATAGAAGCTTTCTAAGTGGCTTCATAATAACTTATGTTGTGAAGTTGTTTCTTCAGTGTATTGTAAGCTCATATGCACAATGGGGGGGGGGGGGGCAGAACATAGAACATTCTGTTATCACCTCTGATCTTTAATATAAAATACAATTAACTAATTTGAAAAAATTAAAAAAATTATTAAATTGCATAATTATAACATATGTTAAAGGATCTCTAAAAACTTATACATATCATCAGATTATATATCAATTTATAAGTCCAACAAATTAGTTTGGAGAAAAACAATAAATATAAATACTTTAAAATATTTAGTAACTTTCTTATCTCTCTAACCAAACTAGTTAACTAGGTCTTATATTAGAGACCGGAGGTAGTATTTCATTAATCATCATACAGAAATTTATTACACAGTTGTAACTAAATTCTAAGCTTTGAGTTTGGAATACTTGGCGAGTCCTCTTTTGCGCAGATAAAGATGTTGTCGCATGAGATACCAATCAACGAGTGAATCAGGAACCATTCGTATGAGAAGGCATTGAATAGAATGGAAAAGGTAAGGCACACAGATACTCTCTTTATAACCAAACCATCTGATGCAACCTTTGCTGTAATCCTTAGCAGTTGGAATAAATAAGGATGTCTTCAGTTTTACCATCTTCGTTGCCACAAACATTGGTACCTATATATATACATAGCTAAATTGTGAGCCAAGCTAAGGGCTTTTCTTTTGTTCATTGTTTGGTTCCAAGGCTATAGATTTTATATCACATATATCGATGATTATATAATAAATTTAGAAGGTTAAGAGTGTAGGAGAACCTGGCACTGGATGTCAATTCCTTGTGATTTGTATTCTACACCGATGCATTTTGAGAACATCCATAAATAGCTGCAAAATTGACAAGTATATATGAAACTATTACATATAGTAATGGGTGTGGAGCTGAACCTTTTTTCTCCCCCCAAACATAAATATCTTCATATTGAAGGCAATTTTGTTCATGGTACTAAATGTAGGTACCTTTCCCAATAAGAATTTAAACATTGATTTGTCATATTATAAAAGATTAGCCTTTCTTGCTAGACTCATTTCTCGTTGGAATTTGGAGCGAATCTTTGTTCCAAAGGAAAAAAACAATTTTGAGGTTTGTGGGGTGGTCTTTTTTTCTGGTCAAAAGGTTTCGTGGGGTGTTTTGGCTGGGTCCTACTCATCACATGCTACCAGTATACATCTAAACTTTATTTTTTTAATTATTAAAAAAAATGAGTATCCCCCTAATCCTTATTATAAGGCATCTTTAATCCCTTTGTCGAAAACTAAAGAGAGGTGGCTAACTCATTAGTTATTAAATTGTTTGAAAGTTAAGAAAAGTTCAAATTTATCCTTATTTAAAATTATTAATTACATCTCAAGAAAATAAAATTATATCAAATTTTAAGCGGAAAAAATCTTGAAAAAAATTAATTAATAACCCTATTTAGTGGCTAATAATAAAGGCCACTTATTCCTAAAAGGTCCGGAAAAGTAGTTTGTGCTGAAAAGGAAACCCAAACCCATACCCGATCAAAGATCATCTAAAAGTTGTGATCCTCAAATAGAATGGAGTGCGGTTTCTCTTTCTTACACCTAAACTTTTCTAACTTCCGCATTTTTCATCGGATTTATTAACTCTAACAAGTTATTCCGTTGGATCAAACGAGTAATAAACTTGAAATTAATCAATGAGAAGATAAATTAAGGCTGCAATAATAATATTCAAGAAACCACTTGAATACCTTAAAATTAATAATAAACTTACGCTTTTGTTGCAGCATAGAGCGTACAGAGAGGATAGGAAGGAATCATAGAGCAGGAACCAGAACCAGTGTTGATGATAGCTCCTTTCTTCTTTCTGAACATTCCTTCAATCACAGCCTTGGTCACCCAAGTTATTGCCTCCAAATTCACTTTAATAATTGCTTCCATAAACTCCAAATCTTCTTCATGAAAGTACCTCGGATAAGGGCTTGCCATGCCTACGTTATTCACCAACACGCCCACTTCTAAACCTTCTGTTTCTTCCTCTATCTTCTTCACTATTTCTTCTCCATTGACGACTTTCTCGAAGTCTATGACCACAAGCTTCACTTGAACATGTCCGCCGTGTTTTTCTCTTATCTCCTTCGATGTGGCTTCGAGCTTTTTAGGGTTTCGACCAACCAGAACGATGTGGAGTCCTTTGGAAGCCAGTTCCAAGGAAATGGCTTTCCCAATTCCATCGGTTGAACCAGTGATGATAGCCCATGAACCATAGGTTTTGAGATTCTTGGGTGGCCTTAAAAACATAACCCAGACCCATCTCGCAAAATAGATTAATGCTTTCGAAAGAGTGATGAATCCTAAGGCGGATGTTGCCACTATGAAGATCTCCGGCCACTCCATTGTCATACCCACCATAATTGAGTTATGGGTATTCCCTTCTAAAGGCGCATATATAATTAATATATGCGTGTGTATGCTATCAAAGTTTTGTCAATAATTGAGATGGGATTTATATATTTATTTCATATATTGTACTATTTCTGATCCTTCTTATAAAGAACTTACTAACGATCTCATCAAAACCAAAGAGATGGGATTAAATCAATAGTTTGGTCTAAAAATGAAATAAAATTTCAAATTTAGCCATATATAATACCATGAATTAGTGATCAAAAAGTCATAAAAAACAATATAATTAATGAAATTTTGTACAAGGATAATCTCAATTAATATCTAGTTAGGTGACTTATGATAATTAGGATCGTTTATTCTTTCTTGTAGGTGACTTGTACTAGCACTCCTTTTTTCTTGGACTTGATCTGACCACTCGATGGACTCACCCACAAGTTTAGTTGAAAGGAACGTTATATCTACCGTTATTAAGGCATATATTGTTGCCACCAAAAGTCTTGTTATTAATTAATTGATACAATATTGATGAATGGTAGATACGTATGTAAACAATTAGCATAAACATATAATGCTACTTAATTTCCCGGATTTCAAGCACTGGTCACTTTGACAAAAGGAGGCATCCAAATTCAAAATCTAAAATATTAAAAAAAAAATAGAGGTTATTTTTATAAATTACCATAGCATTTTGTTAGAATTTATGTTATTTATTATTTCCCCTAATATGTGGGCATAACTTTTGTTCGGGTACAACTTGAAAGTGACTATTGTTTAAACGTGGGAGTATTAATGGTGGGGGAAAAGAGGGAGCGTTAAATGGTTAATGCTATAAATATAAATTTGCCTTTAAGGCGCGGGGACGGACTTATCTACCCTAACTTCTCTAATTGGAATGGCACCTACATTATTGTTCTCACATTATTGCAAAGTTTTTTATGCTACCCATCCTACTTTTTTATAAGATCCTAATAACCGTAAGGTATTTAAGAGATTTGTTAAAATTAGTTAAAAATAACGTAATAAATAGGTTTTTAATTCCCCCAAATATAGGTAAGAGGGTAAATTAAAGAGAAACATAGGGGGAAAAATTAAAGAGAATGTATGGAAAAAAGATAATAAGAGAGAATAAAATTAATTAGGGAAAAAATTGGTAAAAATATATTTAACTCTAAATTGAATCTTATAAAAAAATGACCAAACTAATTAAAAAATTATGATCTTATAAATAGGACTAGAGGAGTATAATATTTTTTTTGGCCAGAGTTTATGGATAATATTTAATTCAATTTATAGAAACAAAATTATGTGCAATTCCTGATCCAATAACATTATATTAGGTCAGGAATATGAACAACGGAGGTAGTATTAAATATAAACTCTAACAATTTTACATTATAAGTTTATGTTATGAGTTCACATTTTCCTAACGAGTTTGCTTAAACTCATCAATTTAACAATCTTAGGTTTAAGTTGTTGCCGAGGAGCGTAAATAACAGATCAAGAAACGTGTATGCTAAACAAAATGCAAGTTTTGAGTTATCAACTGTATTTTCTGTATATAACTCTAATAATTATAAAATTAGTGGGAATTGTGAAAATGTAAAAGCATTTTAAGCCCAACATCATCCTAAACGTATTTCCCAAAAAAGAAAAAAACAATGCCACCCTGGTTATTAAAAAAAAAAACTTGTTAACAGTGAATGAACATTTTCCCTAACAATTAACTAGGAGTGTTCATACGTCTTATCCCATCCCAATGGCATCCTATCTTTAACAGAACGGGACATGGATGTCCTGTCTTTTTTATTTTTTTGAATTTTTATGATTTTCTTAATTTGAAAACTAATTGTAGATGGAGTATAAGAATTCATAATGAAAATTATATAAAAATAGATAAAAATTAGGAAAAATTGGCAAAGAAGAATTTTTTTAATATAATATTGAAAAACAAAAAATAAACAAATTTAAAACATCATGTAACCTATATAGGACAAGTTGTAAAAAAATAATCAAAAATAACAATTGATAAATATTATTACTATAATACTATTATAATGATAAATCAAATAAGTCTATAAAATTAAAAAGAAAGATAGTATATTGGGACGGGACACTCTTATCTTGTGTCTCATCCCGTCCAATTTTTGTCTTGTTTTGAACACTTTTACGATGGAACTGTCCCCTCTCAAAATTACTAAGATGGGGATGAGACGCTAGGATGGAATATAATTAAACACCCTTTCAATTAATGTTAGTTTTTTTAATAGTTAGGACCACATTGCTTCCTTTTAACATTTTTAAGATGACATTGAACTTAAAAAAACTTTCAAATACTTGCTGTCTCTTTATACATACTTTCAAGACAAAAATGACTCCTAATCCTCTTTAAATTGTATGGATTGAAAAGTCACGTTGAAAGAACAATTTTCAGTGTATTATTTGGCACCCAATAAAATTTATATTTGACTAATTAACGGATGATGTAACTATATCCGGTTCTTAATATAATATTTAGTTTGTAATTTGATTTGAACCAAAAATTGGATCTTATATTAATAAGGACCAGAATTATTATACACTACCTCTAATCCTAAATATAAGATCTAATTTACAGTGTAAATGTAAATGTAATAGTAGTATATAACTTCCGCTGCATAATCTATAAACCTCATACAAAGCAAATGAATCAGGGGTTCCATATATTTAGCCAATGATAAACTCATGACGAGTTGGAAATGTACTTGTGTTGCAGATATAAAGTCTTATCAAACATTAAATTGCGGTATTTCTTGGGTTAATATAATTTTTAATTCTTAAAACTTGGGTTATTTTGATTTGGTCCATCAAATTTCAAACTTATAGTCTTACTCCTTAAAATTTAGTTTATTTTAAAACATTAGCCCTTAAAGAAACAATAATGTTAAAATCTACTGAATTTTTACAAACGACATTAAATTTGATGATATGGAATCACCAAATGACACCTAACTGTGTCTTGTCTGAATAACAAGAAAAAGAGCAAGTATTTAAAACATGACGCAGAGAACAATTGGTCAGAAGGGGATAATTCTCAAAATGCAGTATAGTAAACAACTTATCAAACAAAGAAAAAGGAAAAAAGGGATGTAACTATATCCGGTTCTTAATATAATATTTAGTTTGTAATTTGATTTGAACCAAAAATTGGATCTTATATTAATAAGGACCAGAATTATTATACACTACCTCTAATCCTAAATATAAGATCTAATTTGTAGTGCAAATGTAAATGTAATAGTAGTATATAACTTCCGCTGCATAATCTATAAAATCTCATACAAAGCAAATGAATCAGGGGTTCCATATATTTAGCCAATGATAAACTCATGACGAGTTGGAAATGTACTTGTGTTGCAGATATAAAGTCTTATCAAACATTAAATTGCGGTATTTCTTGGGTTAATATAATTTTTAATTCTTAAAACTTGGGTTATTTTGATTTGGTCCATCAAATTTCAAACTTATAGTCTTACTCCTTAAAATTTAGTTTATTTTAAAACATTAGCCCTTAAAGAAACAATAATGTTAAAATCTACTGAATTTTTACAAACGACATTAAATTTGATGATATGGAATCACCAAATGACACCTAACTGTGTCTTGTCTGAATAACAAGAAAAAGAGCAAGTATTTAAAACATGACGCAGAGAACAATTGGTCAGAAGGGGATAATTCTCAAAATGCAGTATAGTAAACAACTTATCAAACAAAGAAAAAGGAAAAAAGGGATGTAACTATATCCGGTTCTTAATATAATATTTAGTTTGTAATTTGATTTGAACCAAAAATTGGATCTTATATTAATAAGGACCAGAATTATTATACACTACCTCTAATCCTAAATATAAGATCTAATTTGTAGTGCAAATGTAAATGTAATAGTAGTATATAACTTCCGCTGCATAATCTATAAAATCTCATACAAAGCAAATGAATCAGGGGTTCCATATATTTAGCCAATGATAAACTCATGACGAGTTGGAAATGTACTTGTGTTGCATATATAAAGTCTTATCAAACATTAAATTGCCGTATTTCTTGGGTTAATATAATTTTTAATTCTTAAAACCTGGGTTATTTTGATTTTGGTCCATCAAATTTCAAACTTATAGTTTTACTCCTTATAATTTAGTTTATTTTAAAACATTAGCCCTTAAAGAAACAATAATGTTAAAATCTACTGAAGTTTTACAAACGACATTAAATTTGATGATATGGAATCACCAAATGACACCTAACTGTGTCTTGTCTGAATAACAAGAAAAAAGAGCAAGTATTTAAAACATGACGCAGAGAACAATTGGTCAGAAGGGGATAATTCTCAAAATGCAGTATAGTAAACAACTTATCAAACAAAGAAAAAGGAAAAAAGGGATTAAATAATTACGTTTTGAGGACTTGTTCTTTTTGTATCCTTTGTTATCCATAAAAGAAATACAAGAGTCATCTCGTGAGTCGACATTACCATCGTAATGCTGTTTACAACATTTTAGCATATTATAACACCATTACACATCCGGGAACTAACGGTTGAAGATAGAGTAAATTTCAGAGACCAAAACCATGGATTTAAAATTTGAGGGACCAAAATCAAAATAGGTCCATATTTCAAGGATTAAAAATTATGTTAACTCCCTTTTTAACAAGTTCAATTAGTTTAGGGTTTTAATGCTCCGGTTCTATCACTCGACAACCATTTTACGTCTGTACATTAAATTGCAACATCAATTACCAAAATTTTTTTAAATACTATCTTTGAGCATTAATATAAAGGTGAAGTTAGTTTTTTTTTTTTTTAAATATCACTTTTAATTGATAAGAATACTTTAGGAAAACAATAATAAATTTTAAAAAAATAAATTAGAAATTTATATTTAAAATCAGAATAAACTCTTTTCTAATTTTTATATTTTAAACGGTAGGGAGTATTTTTATGTCAAGAGAAATCTCAACCACACATTCCGTTTGTG